AGAGAGAGAGAGAGAGAGAGAGAGAGAGAGAGAGAGAGAGAGAGAGAAACACAAAATAGAGTGACCTAATGTTTATTCCCTTTCAGCCATGCTAAGGTCTTAGGACTTCAGTTACAAAATCATTCCTTTGCTAGAAGGTAAATTGGGAGAAAAATGATAACTGGAAAAGCATTAAAAACATCGAGGGAGAGTTGAGTTTTACTTAGTAAACATATGTTCTTGACACCAAGGGTACAAAGAAGACCTTATTATAATTGCAAGGAGCTTTGAATAAACAGGGTATAAAGCCAAATTAGTTAATGCAGGGAGACACCGCTGTAAGGCCTTGCTTCTTAAAATGTGGTTTTCTATCAGTCGCTGCTTCTGGAAGTTTGTTAGGATGGATATTCTTGGCCCCCAGCCAGCATGACTGACTGATGATGAACTCGTTTTAACGAGTTTGAATTGTGTTCAAAGGTATACTCGAGAAGTACAAGTCTAGAACATGGGAATGAGATCTGGGGACGTATTCTATAAAAGTAAATTCTGAGTTATGTTTTGAGGATGCATCAGGTTGCAGATGGTTCCCAGTAGAGGAACTAATACAAAGTCAAGAACCATGAAAAAGCAAAAGGATGTTTGGGGAAGTAGAGTCAGAGGATAATAACCAAAATGGGGAGGGTAGGCTGGAGAGATGTCTCTGTGGCTGAGTGCTTGCCGCTCTTCCACAGAGGCTGAGTTCTGTTGCTGACACCCATGTCCTGCAGCTCACAGCCACCTGTAATTCCAGTGGCAGGTGATCTGGTGCCCTCTTCTGGTCTCCAAGGGCACCTGCAACCATGTGCACTTACACACAGACAATGCATATTCATAATTTAAGAAGTTTTTATAAACGAGAGAGAGGAAAGACAGGGAGGGGGAGGAGGAGGGGAAGGAGATATAGGGAGAGGGCAGGGGCAGCAGTATCCCCCATCTTCTGCCTGTGTTCTATGTTAGGCAACTTTGATTAGATCTACTCAATGCCTTCCTTGTGGGAATGACATGTTCAGATTTGCATTTAGATCACTTCAGCCTGAGGAGGCTGAGAATACGTGAGGCTGAAGGGCAGAGAAATTAATTAGAAAGTGAATGCAGGAGTTTTGCAGAGAGATAATGAGTGTCTTAACGCAGGCAGTGGCAATGGGAAGGGTGGGACAGACAAGACATTTTAGGTGGCGATAAGCAGATGAAAGGGTTCAGTATGTTGATTGGAGGTGGGAGGCTTGAGTGGATGACATTCAAACTTCCGGCTGGGATGAGTGGGTGGCGGCTTACGGTGCCATGAACAGATGAAAGAAGACAGGAGGATAAACAGGTTTGAGAAGGGAAATTGTGGGTTCGGTTTTCAACATGTTCAACCCAGGTGAACAGAAAACACGTGTAGGAGGAAAAAAGGGGGAATCAAGAAAAGGGTGGAGAGCAAGATGAGTCAGTGAGGTGGAGAAGGAAAGTGAGGAGGAGGAAACAATGCCCTACCCAGATTCGGGGCTACTGCAATACACCTTGTGGTGCTTCCCGGTTCATTTCCTGCTTCCTCAGAACTCGGTTCAGCAAGTTGAAAAGAACCCTGAAAAGGCGCAAAAATAATTTGATTTTCGGCTTCTTATCTGGAAACCAATTCGTTGTTACTACTATTTGCTCTTTGGAAAAAAAAAAAAAAAAAGGACATTATTTAAAACTATGGTTCAACTCACATCGACCAAAATAGTCTTCACCATATTGTTCCTGAGTGAATAATACCTCTGCCTCTGTCCCCAACATGATTTCCAGAGCAGAATAATATCCCCGCTCCCGTGTGTGTGTGTGTGTGTGTGTGTGTGTGTGTGTGTGTCTTTGTGTTGTTGTCTCTTCCTGCCAAATCTTTCCCATCTGTGAATTTTCACAGTTGTTTTTTACTTACACCTTAAAACCCAGCCGTGGCTAAGAGCCTGTCTTGGGAT